CTCTTATCAACAGTGCAAATCCCAAATATATTCAATTTACAGCTATATAAAGCTGAAACCAGTTTAGTATTTGTGCTTATAAATTACAATTAATCAGTTATTAAAAATGGGTCTCGACTAATTTTCTGTTGATCAACTAATTGATTGATTAACTAACTGTTTCGGCGCTATCTTTAGATGACAATAAAAAATGTATTGACGTTCATCTAGAATGAGCAAATGTGATCATACCTTTCAGAGTAATATTGCAGAATTGAAAATTATATATAACCTGCAATTTGCAGTATACATTTATATACAGTACATGAGCATGCTTCCTCAGTTGGTAGCAGTTTATGAAGTGATATGAGAAACTGAACTGCCTAAATTAAGAGAAATTATGAAGACTAAAGCATATCTTATAAATAAATTATCATGAAACTCTTTTTGGAAAACAGTAAATAAATAGTATGCACAAGTAACTGTAGCGAAATATATTATCAAATCAGTTGACATGTATGTTGTTTGGATGTTATTATTGACATTATATGAAGGTGTTACATGAAAGGAATGCAGACTTTCGTGGATATGCTGAGATTGTAGATGTTAGTTTTGGAGACATGTCATATCAAAAGAGGAAAAACTGTGATAACCTTCAGATGATAAAGAGATCCTGGTTATTGGTTGTGAGAGAGGGAACAAGGGATAAAACCTGAAGAGAAAACAAGGGGTTAGATAAAGGACTGATGTACAGGGAAAACTAGGAAGTAAGATCAGGAGGGAGGAGACGAAAGGTGAGAGGAAATTGAAAGAATTGAAAGATAGATGAAGGGAAAGACAAATGAAGCATGACAGAGGGGATGAGGGAGCTTCACGGAAAGATGGTTGATCAGCTCCTTTACCATCATGGGAACAACCCTCCGTACTGCAGCGTACTTTGATGGAGTCTGTCCACACACAGTATATACATTCAAATGTGCATTTTATTTTGTGTTTCACACATTCACCCTTGGAACCATGAAGCCTATTTGATTGTTCTGCAAACAGCAGCAGCGAAACACAGCCGCAACATAATCCTTGTACGACTAAAGTGCTTGATTTTTGATTATTATTACAAGGGTCTGACAACATTGTCAAAAATAATCCTTACAGATACTTAAAAAAAAAAAAAGAAAGATCCTACAGTCACCAGGGTTAAAAAGATCACACAATAGCACAAATTAACGGATCAAGGCAAGATTAGAGAAGTGAAATTAGTATTTTTGTCAAGAGAGCCTGGTTACTTTGACAAAAGCAACATAGCGAAACAATAAGTACCTTACTCTTTCAAAAAAGGTCCATCTCTGTAGGGATTATTTCCATAATGTTTTCAGACACTTATGATAACAATCTGAGCCTGTCAGTTGCAAAAACAAGCACTTAAGTGGATGTTCTTTGACAGGGCGCAATTGCCCACAAGGATTACGTTGCAGCCCTTTCTAGCGCTCGCTCAATACTGGACCATTTTAAAAAAAAATGTTGTGCCAATTAGTCACATAGACACAAAACCATGGGAAAATAAGGTCCAGGTTGAAAAATACCGAACTTACCCTTTAAGACTTTTTCAACACTGAGCTCAGGGTAGCACCGCAATGTCTGCTATACATTCTTGCACCTGAGTGAAATCGAGGTGGTTGAAAGGTTGAAAGAAAGTTCAAACAAGTATCTTGTGTAACAACAAAAAACAAAAAACTTACCTATCATTGCAGAGGTGTTCAATTCCTTGCAGCAGAGCTTCAACTGGGTTATGCGTTCCAATGGCAGAGATCTGGGTCGGAAGCCAGTGAGGGATCATTACCTTTGTCTCTGCACTAGTGACTCCTATTGGTTAAGTATTGGCACAAAACATTGGTGAGCAGCAAATCCCAAAACATTGCTATCAGTTTGAAAAACTCCACACTGATCTAAACCAGGGGTGGGCTGGTAATCTGGCATACCGGGCAAATGCCCGGTGGGCCGAGGAACCTTTGGGGACGGTGTAACGTAAATTAATTATTTATATAACTGTTTATAAAAAATGGGCCAATGACCAGCCCATAAAGCATTAACAGTGGCCCATTGAGTAATTTTCTATACTGACATTGTGCTGGCCCAATTACATCTCTTACTGGCTCCCTCCTCGGTTTCTTGTGTTGCGGGCCAAAAAAAAGGTCTTCAGATGGAGGCCGCCGCATACGCGGAAAAAAAAACAATATGTTTGCTACGGGTCTGCAGTAGCTTCAACATCCGCAGCAGTACCCTGCATAGTGCAGGCACAGGCACTTGAAGGAGTCAAGGAGACCGTGCCACTACCAGGCAGAGGAGGAGGTGTGTGTTACCCGAGCAGAGTGACAAAGTGACCATGATGGGCTGAGTGAGAGAGAGAGCAGGAGGAGAGTGGAGGTGAAGTGGTAAGCATGGAGTGGCTCAACCTGTAGGGAGGAAGCAAGGAGGGAGGGTCAAAGGTGCCATTTACACTGGGGACATGTAGGCTACCCACCACCACCCAAAGCATTAAAAATGTTCTGAAAAATAGCTTGCACAAAGAAATGTTAACAAATAAAAATGCACAATAAGCCTGCAATGCAATGTCAATATAGAAGAAACCTCTGCGCTGTCCAAAAAGTATCTTAAGCTAAAACAAAGCTGCTGATTACTGCATTTTATTCTATTCTATTTTTATATTTATATTCTAATTGTCACCTGACACCTGGATTTTGTGCTTCCCTGAATATAAAGACATTTCCACCATATATTGGTGTCAGAGGTGGATGTGATATACAGGTGCACATACACATATATGTACACATGTACACAGTGCGATGGAGCACAGTTCAAAGGATGCTGGAATAAATAAGTATTATGTGCAGTTATTATGTACTTGAGGTAGGTGGATTTGGTATACAGTATATACAATATACTTCCTGAGCTGGCGCAGGAAGCACATCCTCTGCTGGACCTTCTTGATGATGGTGTCCGAGTTGAGCTCCCACTTTAGGTCTTGGGATATAGTGGATCCCAGAAACCTGAAAGATTCCACAGCAGACACACGGCTGTTGAGTATGTTGATGGGGGGCAGAGTGGGGGGCTCCTGATGGTGCTGAGGATGTCCAGGATGATGGTGTTAAACGCCGAGCTGAAGTCCAAGAACAGGATCCTTGCATATGCCCCCGGAGAGTCGAGGTGTTGCAGGATGTAATGCAGTCCCAAGTTGATTGCATCATCCACTGACCTGTTAGCCCTGTAGGCAAACTGCAGTGGGTCCAGCAAGGGGCCTTTAATGTCTTTCAGGTGGGCCAACACCAGTCTTTCGAAGGACTTCATGACTACAGATGTCAGGGCGACAGACCTGTAGTCATTTAATCCAGAGACGTGGGGAGGACCCCCAGACCCACCTATTGAATATTTCATCAATAAATATTTTTCATAAATATTAAGCCTATTAAAATATATTCTTGTCTTGTTGTCATGGCTCCAATCTTGTGCAATGTCACGTCTCATGGGCTAAGTGTTTCATCACACCCCTAATCTGAGCTCTTAAATGGAAGCATTGGTGTAATGCCAGGGGCGATTTTCTTGTCCCAGTCCAGCCCTGATCTAAACCTATCATATAACTGATTGACAGCTGTAAACATAACATTTACTGTTTTAACTAACATTGATACATTCCGCCTTTTGTCAGATCTTTGACCAAATGGATACTGACAAGCATCTTTTTTATCACCTTACCATTGTTGTTTTTGCAGGCACTCTTTTTTTATTTCAGCTGTTTTGTGATTGTTGATATCATTTGTTAACTTAGTTTTTCTGTTATCAGTTCACCACTTTCCAAATTAGCCATTATACTAGTAGTGTGTCTCAATTTGCCCCCTTCCATACGTACACTTAATATTTTGCTGGACATTCTCACCCTCAAAGGTCGCCATCTTGTTTATGTAGCAGAAGGGGAGGGACCACCAATGTATTTTCAAACTTGTGAAAACGGTGGCCGAGGAAGCTGCAGCGGATGCGATCGTAAAAGTTGAAGTTAATTTTAATGTGAGCAAACAAGCCAGCAGATATTTTGGAGGGTGAAAATTGTGGTGAAATGATAATGGCAATAATGATCCTCCAGGTTACAATTTGCCATTACTAAAAAAGTAGAAGAAGAAGCGGTGAAATCTTGATATCGTCATTTCTAGTTAGTGCACAACAGCACTGTGTGATTTGACACAACACTACTCTGTCAAAATTACTGCATAGTGCACGGGGTGGTGATTGTGCAATGGATAAGACCATGCATTTGGTGTGAGCGACCTGGGTTCAATCCCCCACTGTGACCCATCCTGAGCAAGACACTTAACTCTATTTGCTCCAGAGGCGTGCGACCTCTGACATGTATAGCAATTGTAAGTCGCTTTCGATAAAAGCGTCAGCTAAATGTAATGTATGCAGGGTATTTCATATAAGTGAAGTATTTGAACTGAGACACAGTAATGTGCTGCTATGTATTTTTTTACATTTTTAATTTTACTCTTCTAGACTCCGTTTCTATTTAGTAGATTAATTACTGATGTGCTATTTAAGGGGACATAAAGTTGATCTTTCACCTATATCTTGTTTATTTCTTTCAAGAATCAATGTAACTAATTTGACACTCAAATACCTTTGAGCTAACTCTTGTTTATGATATCATTGTTCTCAAATTTTTTATCAATATCATTTAAATTTTTATAGTGTTTTCACAGTGTCACAATGTCTTCCACTTCAAAGGCTTGCTTTGTCTTTAACCTTTACTGAAAGTGTGTTTAGCTACCTGCATGGTGTGTGCACCTTCACACATAGTGAAGGCAGAAGAGCTGTGACAAAAAAAGACATGATTCAAAGAACTGGAAAAGCAAATAAGATAATCTAAATATAAAAAAAAATACCAGACAAAGTAAGGAAGGAAGCAAGAAATTTTGTTGAAACCTGGCCTCTTCTCTTATAACATAACATCGCTTTATTTTGTTTTTCATTTTCTTCACACAGACAGGAACTGCTGCTGAAAATCTACAATAGTATACAAGAGGCATATTGCCATTGTCTCTGGTGTTTTGGGGTAGCAGCTATCATGTGGCACGACCCAGAAGCTACAGTTAGTCCCTTTTGTCCACAATTCTGTCTTTATTATACATACATAACCCCATATAATGCGGCCTTTGACTTTATGTAAACAACCTATAACCTAAAAATCTCCTTTGTCTTTTGCCCAACAGTATACTGTATACTCCTCTACTCCCAACAGTCCAACTTCCACAATAGACATATCTCTTAGATTTTTTTTCCATATTCAAACAAGTCTTTTTCAGGTCCTTGTACAGTTGTCTCAAACCATGCAACACATACTATATGTCTGTGGTCAGGACTGTCTTGAATGTGTCCAGGTCTTTGTTGCATGTGTATCCATGCACTCATATTTGTATTGTCACACATTGCACGTGTGCACAGTCACTCACTGTTATTTACCACGTATACAGAATGAGTGTTTTTTTGCTCATTGAAATACGCAGTTAAATGCCTTAAGCGTACCTCAGTGTTTTATCATTTTTATGTCCAGTGCATGTTAGAGTTTTTCTATATATAGCCTCACAAATCTTCACATTTAGTGCATGTATTCTTGTCACGACCTCTTAGACAGGAAACACAAGAGCACACACACACACACACACACACGGCCAGGTTCTCTTACTTTTCCTCTTCCTGCCAGTGATTTGGTGTGTATCCTTGTGCATTCATAGCTTTTCAATGTCCCTGTATTTCTTCCTCAGGATGGAAACCTGGTCCCTAAACAACACAGGGTCCAGCCTCATCTGGGAGTGCACCAGGGGCATGAAACCCAGCCAGTGACTGAAGGCGTTCATGCAGGTCTGTCGCTGGGCGAAATGGTCTGGGTCGGCCCACCGAGATGCCTTGGAGCCCTTAGTTTAGAGAAACAGAGATGGAAAACAGAGAGAGGGAGATAAATATATTACAAGAACTATGAAATAAATCAACACAGCTCTGTAGCAGGTGATAATGTAGGAGAATGCTGACTATAATCCTGCAAATGCTAACAAACAGCAAAAACAAATGAAAAATTATAATGTTATTTAACTGACAATGCCATAATGTATAACCCATTAGCTGAAAGAAATCTTAAAGTAAAAAGGTAAACTTTTATTTACAGTGCAGCACAAGAAATAAAGAACTGAATCATACATAAACACATGGTAAAGGACTGGTCGGAGCAGAAAGTGACTTGGTCTAGTTGGTGAACTACTGTAGCTGGAGATCTGTGGCTCTGACATTTAGTCTGCTGGGACAGTCACAATAGCTACCAGAGCTTATTACTGTTTTATCTTTACTGGACTGTTAGGTCCACCTGGCCTTTTGTTCTGTGGATTGCACATTGTTGTTGTTTAATAAAGAGTTACTGAAGAGTTCACACATTTTATTCAAAATACATATTTGTACCATTGTCCCATGACTGCTGAATTGCCTTGTTGTTGAAATGTGCTATATACATATAAACTTCTTTCTGTTTTCTTTGTTCTTGGACGTTAAATCTGCCCATTCTTTTTTTTTTGGATTATAGGCTACATTATTTTCTTCAAGAGAGAGTGAAGTGCGGTAAAAAAAGGTGTCAGAGCTAACAAATTTACTGACTGCTTGCAACACTCACTGCCTTCAAATGGGGTCGAATTTGCAATGTTTTATGAGAATAATCCATATGAACACCCCTCTCTTGCGGTATTCACGACCTTATGACATAGAATGATATGATAACATATTACTTATTCACCAGCACCATTGTGCACTGATGGTGGAAATCTTGTAGACCATCACATTTTAGCAGTTCCATGACTGCATTTTAATGAGCCAGGGTAGGAATGCCGTCATGCTGGTGAAGCTGCTCCCTATTGACAGCTTATCATAGTAACACAGACTGTATCTCCCACTATTTATTTTCACCATCTGCTGCTCCAGAGAATCCAGGTTCATCATAATAATGGAGCTGGTCGACTTGACCAGCTGGTTCCCTCTGCGGGAATACCCACGAGTTGTTGTTGACACTGCACTAGCACAGTAAGACTGGTAGAAAACAAACAATGACATTTATTGCACATATTGTTAGAAATACAGTCTGCTTTGCCACTTTTTGGCTACAACTAGCAGTTTTTAAAAAAATCATTATATTGTGAGTTTTGTAGAGCCAGCAAACTCTACGGCTAATCACCAGTTGTATACTTGTTTTAGAGGGTCTTGCTGTTAGTTGCAGCTTATTATCCTCATTGACTCCAACTATTTTACGTCACCAGCAGAGGGGAGGAGGGGTGGGTCCCTGTGTGGCTGCTGGTAGATGAGTTGGAGAGGGGGCAGATGATGGCAAGGTGGAGGGCTGCAGCTCCCTTTGATAAGCTATGGCATAGGGGTGTGGAGGCAGGGATTCATCCTGTGTGTTGCAGGAGGGTGGCAGTGGGGGATACTCAGGGTCAGGTGGTATAATGAAACTACAAAAAAATCGAATCAAAGAAGTGGTTTGGCACTTTGGTTGAAACATCTCTACTCATATATATATATATATATATATATATATATATAAGTCATGTCTTCTGTTGCTTCATTAAAAGGTTTTTTGCTGGTCAAGGTTTCTTAAAAGATTCCTCCACTGTGATTGAGCAAAATAACAAATCAGGGGTGAGAGAGGGGGACACTCAAAAAGTAAGAAAGAAAAAAAGAAAGAAAGAAAGAGAGAGCAAGGGAAGCAGGGAGTAAATCTAGGTTTGCCGTGCTGCCTTCACAATTAAGACATTAATCACCAAGTCCATTCTGCAGAGTCATCGTCCTGCCTGTGGTCAGACCATCAATCAGAACCTGCCATTGGGCTGGCCACATGAAGCACACACACACTTTCACACACAGAACATGCACATAGGGATCTCCCAGAGAGAAGGTCAGCGCTGAATGTAGCCCGAAGCTTCGGCACTAGTGCTCATTCAACACAAAGAGGTGAATCTTTTTTCTTCTTCTCTATTCACAAAAACGAAGTCAGGGAGTTCAACTATTCCATCTAAAACATGTGACCTTTTCTTTAAACTATGTCACTATGGAGTTGCGTTTTGACACAGGGGTCTTCATTTTGTTTGCATGCACATTACATGCAAGAGGATGAAGATGACATGATGAATCACATTATGATGTTTCACACTATTCCACTGATCAACAGTTGGTGTCAGTAATGTGCTAAGAAACATATAAATGCACTAGTAAAGGACAGGAAAGAAGACTGACAGCAAGCAAAAATGCAGGTTCCAAATATGTTTAAAATGTTGGCTCTGCAAATGATTCATGAGAAAGGAAAGGTATCAAATGTGTTAGTTAAGCCTCAAGGAAACACACAAATCTGCAGACAGGTTTTTATGGAAACAATCGTTGTGTCTTTGCCTTTACAAAGTGCAAACACTCAGATTAATTTGATGTAAGCACCAATTCTAATATTTGTTTCTGGTCTAGGTGGGGTTTCATTTCTGTAATCATCTCATTTACAGCATGGTTTACTCCTCAATTGAAACCTAATTCAAAAAGAAAACAATTGATGGGCACAGTTTAATTAAATTAGCATGTACGTTTACAAGGATTTATTACACTGTGGCATTTCCAGAATGCTCTGAAAGTGGAATGACACCATATATTTAAGAATGTTTTTAAGGTTGTACCTTTGTATTACACCCTGATCATTTAGGGCTGCATCCAACTAAAGATTTTCATAGTCGACTACTAGTTGTTTCTTCAAGACAAGGGGCATGAACCGAGCTACATGTTAATGACAAGCAGTAATAATTCTGAATGTGGCAGAACAACCAGTAAGGAGACTGAACATTTTTTCAACACAATATAACATCCCATAAATCTTGTTCAAAACACAGGAATAAATAATTTCCAACGTCATAAAAACAAATACTCGTCGACTTGTCAACACAAACTCAATACAAACTCACTCCTCTTCCGTGCAACACATCTTCTTGCCCCCTCTGAACCCTCTGTGCCTTCATTGTCCCCTGGAGTCCTGGTCGGTTGTAATTCACCTCAGTAGGCTAATGGATTCCCTGTTGTCAAACTCGCTGATGAAAAGTTGGTCCACAAAGACTCTTCTCATTGACTAATGGTTTAGTTAATTATTGTAGGGCAGTCCTAATAAATGTTACTAGCAGTCCCGCAGTGCTAGCATCCTGCAGGCAGAACACTGGGTAGTAAAAATTTGCACCGTCGCTGCAAATCACCAGTCTTAACTACAAGGATGACCAATACATGAGTGTAAAGCTAACAATAAAGCTTTACCTGGGTCATCATGGTTTCCTTGTACTGCTTCTTCTGTGTGACTTTGATTGGCGGCTGCTTGGTAATGGCTGAAACTAGGAAGTTCATCAGGATGTCTTCACAATTAGCCATGCGGTCCACCGTGGTCAGCAGGCTGGCTGGGACATAGTGGGTGAACAGGTAGTGGTAGTATCTGACATACACACACAAAGGAAAAAAAGACAGATGAGGTTAATTGTGTGTTTATTTATTTCTTTTTAAAGCTGCACTTCTATTCTATTATATTCCGTGTGGTTCCTGTGTTGCACTCTCAGCATCATGGGAGCACTAGATCACTGTCAGCTCTGTTACCTCCCTGCCAAGGTCTGCCGTCCATCGTTCTCACACACACACACACACACACACTTTTTCTACCTTTCCCTCTAACTTGCTGACTCATTTTTTTCTGCCTTGAGTTGGCATTTGATATTTTAAATAACAAAAGGACTGATGAGTCGTACTGAGCGTCCTAACAATAGAACAATGAGAGAGCTGTTTATCTGCATGACAAGATGCTTCATATCCCTTCGGAGAGCAACACTCTTCTCCATTTAATTCACCGCTCTGTTTAATACTTCAGTTTACCATTTTTTTCATTCAGTCCTAGCACTGTGTTTTTGACAATCATTGTATGAGAACAAAGAGGTGGAGAAAGATCTATTATCCAAATTCCTTTTGTATTATTCACATACAAAATGAAATATGACTGGTATGTATTTTGTGAAGAAGGAATAATTATTCAGGTCAACGTGACAGGTGAGGCAGGGCAACTGCACCACAAGGCAAACTGATGACAGTGATGGAAGAGTAGCTTGACTATAGTTTAACATGACACATTATTAATTCAGATCAAAAGCAATCCAATATTATATTGTCATTATGCTGTCTTACATGCCTTTAAATGATTGTTTACATATTATCCAGTGGTTTAATATGTTTAATTATATACGTAAGTAATAAAACAGCATTACGTTTACTGTGTACCCAGTCATGTAAATAAACTAATGACATCCAATTAATGATCATCATGAATACAAACATAATAATAAACATCTACTTTTATAAAAGTATTAATATTTTTAGTTAACTACCTCATACATTAGTCCTACCCTGAATACCATAATGTTTATAATAATGCTGAGTTTATTTCATCCTTGAAAAAGTTAATTTAAATTTAAAAAAATAATAACACGAGAAACTTAAGTTTGGAAAATTTTATTAACCCTCCACTGAATTCTGTAACTGTCCAAATAGCAAAATCCAAACATAACTACACGACCAACAGCAAACACCACCACAGGTCAACTGTGTAGGCTTGTCCAAACAACCTAAGAAACTTTTCCTGTTTCGCCCCCTCTAGATGTAGGATTTAGTTGACATTCTGCTGCAATTTTTTTTTACAGCAAAACTTGAGGATGCTTTGCAACACAAAACAAGAAGACAAACAGAGCTCAAGATTTTCATGGTGGAGTGCAGAAAAGGCAGATGGATAAATCACTATAAAAATCTTTATTCTTCCGGCAGACCCAGTTAGGAAGGGCAGGGACAACAGGATTTATGATAACTTTAATCTTAACTGCAAACAATGTATAAAAATGTAAAACAATTTTGTGAAACAACTGCAAATCTTTTCAATCATTGATCAGCAAGAGATCTGTTTTTTGTACCTGTGGTAGAAAGCTGCCCCCGTAAGGACCATGGAGTAGTCATTGGTCCATTTGGAGGTGTAGCCCCAGCGGGATCTGGAACTATCCCAGTAGTGGCTCCTTGCTGGATAACCAATGATGCGCTCCGGAAAGCTTTGCCATACAATAAAGGCAAAATCCACCTGTGGAAGTCGAAAGTAAAGAAAGAGGACAGAGGAGAGAAAAGAAGAGCGGGCCAATGGAAAATAAAGAGAAAGATTTAGTAGGAGAAAACACAGACAAGGGGCAAAAAAAGAAAGAAAAAGAGGAGGAGAAATGGGCCGATAAGGGGAAGAGGAATAGTGACGGGAGTGGAAAAGCACACAATAATGTAAAGAGTTGATACAGCTTATCCAAAACATTCAGAACTGAAGCAGCTTGTAGAGGAGGTAAGCAGATATAAACAACTAGGACATTTTTTCTTTGCCTGCCACTGTGGCAGACAAGTATTTCTATTGCCACTTTTGAAATGTAGGAATAACATTCAGCTAATTTAGGCATCATTTTATGTAAATTATGTTGTCATTCAATGTTCAAAATATATGCACAAAAAACATTACATGCATGTTTGCATGTACAAAGGACCCATGTCTTTCAGTACATGAAAATCACTCCACCTTACTCAACAATCCTTAACAACAGGGTATTTCAAAGGTACCGACAGATGACAAAAAACACAAAGCATACAAGAACTTGAAGTTCACCACAGAGTATTATAAAGTAAGCACTCAATTCAGAACCCTCAGTTCAACACCCAATGAATGAGTCCTTGTCTCAGTACAAATCTCCACAAGAGTCCATATCTCAACAAAAACCTCCTCTTCTGGATCCGAGCAAGCAAACAAGAAATACTCATTTTGAGTTTTGAAGAGGTGGTATTATGCTTTTTGTCTTTTTCCCTCTCCTTTATTGAGTTATATATCTTTTTTCTGCATGTAATAGGTTTGCAAAGTGAAAAAGCCCAAAGTTCAGCCCATAGTGAGTTCCCATCTCCCACAGAAAGCTCTGCTCTGAACCGCTTGAAAACAGCTCGTTTGTAGTCCAGTTGTTTCCCTTCCTTCACTGTGACGTCACAATGAAAACGCGTCATAAAGCTTGCCAAGCGGCTAGCGGGGTCAGGTATGCCCTCAAACCAAGCTAGTCTGAGCGGAGGCCCTTTGATTTTAGTTAAGCCCCTTTCCCACTGCACAGTACCAGCTCGACTCGGCTCGACTCGCCTTTGTTTGGTTTTCCATCGTAGAAATGTTGCACCTGTACCTGCTTCCAGGTACTTTTTCGTATCACCTCACCTCCGTCGAGATTCCAAGCAAGCTGAGGGAAACTAAAATGTAACATGAAAACATGACAGACTGCTGACTGGTCAGAGAGAATTGTCACTATTCACTGCATCATCATTGCGTGCACCAGAAATTCAGAATTTCATCACTAAATCCACTTCTGAGAAGTTTTGAGGTGAGAAATCAGCTCTGTAGATTTCAAATATTGACAGTTTTGTGAGAAGTGATGGCGGAACAAAAATGTGCTTGAATATTTTCGGAGTTTAGGAGCTCCGCAAGTGGCGGCAGCAGAAGCCTGTGCCAACCCGTGGGAGGAGCGTGTGAGGCCGGCCAGCCGCCCGCTCACAGAGCCCTCTGCTCCCACCGTCACACAGACCGCTGCAGCAACAACAGCAGAGGAAAACACAGCTGGAAGGTTTTCATACCGCTTAACTGTCTTTACATTCTGAGTAATGTTGAAACGTTTTAACTTAAAAAAGAGAAAGCTGTGTGGATCGCTGGTGTGTGTGTCGCATTTAACATTACGTTGCGGCAGTTGTGTGTGGCGTCGCTATGACGACAAGCTACGTACTATCTCACAGTTTAACGTTTAGTCCTAAAAGACGATTCAACTCTGACTCTGTTTGGGCCTTCACAATCACAACCTGTAAGTATGCTTTATTGGTTTTGAATTATATTTAAAATAAACACGGCAATGTAACTTCAAAGACTGTTCAAGTGCGGAGTTGTTGTAAATGTTGGCTAACACAGCTAAAGTTATAACTATAATGCTAATGTTACACCTGATGTAAAAGCTACTGAGCAAATGTTCAAATTGTTTGGCCAATTTTTATGTAAAATTGAGTTGAAATATGGTGATTTTTGTAGTGGTTTATGGTAAGATGTGGAACAATGATGTTGTGTGGTTGTAGACTTAACTTATACCATCTGCTAGGTTACGGTCGCAGTCTGAAGCGGCTTTGATTTGGATCACACTACCTTGTTTCTTACGACCAGCCCTTCTCTGCTTCTGATTGGCTAGTAGTCCTTACCTGGGAACTGCACATGTGCAACTCCCAACAAAGATAGAAAGTAAGATGCATCACTCTGTAGCTCAAGAGCGGAGTGTACAACACATAGGGTGAAAAGAGGAGCTGCAGCAATGTGCAGTATGAGAAAAATATGTTTTTTTGTTCTGGTACAACCCCTAAATAAGATTTTGAACCTGAAAATGACCATAATACCACCTCTTAAATACAAAAGTTGGCCAATAAATAATAAAAGTGACATGTCTTGCATCTAAAAGACACATTTAGCGGGTGTCCGGTGCTAATTTCAGGCCCTGTAAACACCTTATTATAGCTATCAAATTGGATTTAGCCAGCAAGGCCACCATCAAAAACAACAGCTTCTCTCTCTTTCACAACTTAACAAATAGCATTTCAAAAGGTGTTGTAAGCAGTTTCCTTTCCATCAAGTCAAATTTCAGTATCTATATAAGATTCACTTGAAACAGTTTAAAGTCAGAACATTGATTCGCACTCTGGAGCTAAATGGACCAGGTGTTTATTTGTGTCCTCTTTAAATTAAAGAATGTACAGCAAAACAATATGTTTAACAGCATTTCAAAATCTTCACGGTGTGCTGTCTGAATGCTTTTTTTGACTGCCTAAAATAACACAGAAAAGAAAGACATGTTAAAGAACAAGAGACCCGAACAGAAATCAATTCAGTATTAAAGTCTTTCAATGAAAAGGGCAGATTATGGCTTTTACTGTGAAGGAGTTGCAGGAAGTGTTGAGTTACAGTCCCTGAGAATATTTTAGGTTAGTTAGGGCCTATCTGAGGTTACCAACTGGACTTAACGTACAGTACACATAAATGTTTTCGCTGCTTTTTGTTGGTGGATTACCATAAGACATGTTATCTGATCTCTCTCTCTCTCACTCACACACACACACACGGTATTTAAATGGAATATACTACCAGTATGAAATGGTAAAAATAACATCAGGTTTTAAATGCTGCGGTGATTCAGGTTGGGTTAAATACTGTACAGCTGTTTAAATTTTAAAGCATATATATATATATAATGTATATCTTTTCACATTTCTTTTTATAGGTATGATTCTTGACTTGCAATACTTATTTTTCATTTTCTCTTACTTCTCTTACTGACCATTAATTACCAAAATACAAAGGCAAATGCTTTGTTTGTGAAAACGTACTTGGCAATAAACTTGTTTCTGATTATGATTTCAATTCATCAGTGCGTGTCATCAGTGTGTCTGTTTGCTTCCACTCATGTCATTTCATTGACTTTATAGGTGAACAAGCTGCTTCCTTTTGCATTTGGTTTGAACACACCTTTACAGTAGATCTTGCATGCACTGAACAACTCTAAAGGTATGATTCTCTAATCTACTCGTGCTTCTAGAGCTGCATATCTTTCATTCGTTGGACCATGTCTGTCCTGCTCCGTATCACTCTCAGGCTCCCTAAATTTCCTTTGGAGTTATAGGGAGCACCTGGTGACCTTGAAGGAGCTTGCACTACCTGAGAAAGTGCCTCTTTTGAATTCAAAAACACCACTGAGACATACAGGCAGACACCAGAGAATAAGGGGATCAGCATATAATGAAATACTGGGTAACACACACACACACACACACACACTCTTAGCCGAGGGAGAAAATTAATTACCAGAATAGGAGAGGTGGCGAGACGGGGGAGGGGAGGGGAGCACAGAAAGTGGATGTTCTTTAGCGATACCTTGCGGCTTCTGTCATGAATCGCGTGAGCAATTATTGTAAAGTGCCGGCGCTAAGCCGAGAGAAAGGTTGGAGCTGCCATTCTCAGTGTAGCCCCTGATGAACGGACTTATTAGCTGTGTGCAAGCATAGTGTGTGTGTGTGTGTGTGTGTGTACTTGTACATGTGTTTGTATGAGAGATGTGTCAGATGTCTCCACAGCTGTGCTGAAAGGATTAATGATATCATGCAAATATAATTTTGCCTTTAGAGATTAAAAGGCTCTTTATAATGTGAAGTGGCATGTGTGTGTTTGTGTGAATGTCTACATGTTTGAGAGTGTATGTGTGAGTGTGGGTGACAGAACCTTGATTCTTTACACCCAAATATGTTTGTTTTAATTACATTTTTAAACAGAGGTTGATGTGGCTGAGGAATTCAAGGGAAGACTTGAACACACTGTGTGTATGTGTGTGTGTGTGTGTGTGTGTGTGTGTGTGTGTGTGTGTGTGTGTGTTATACATACTAATATTCTACAAGGCCAAAATTGATCCGAGGAGCAGGGGGTCAATCCAGCAATAGATCTGTCACAAATCTCTCCCGACATTTGGATTTAACATGTCCAGTGTTATGAGATGAAAAGGAGTTACCTCACATTTTAGAGCTTTTATCTTCCCCTCAGTGTGTGGCCTTTTCCAATGTGTTTTGAGAAGTTGTGTTTTCAATCTGTTTTGTATTTTGCTGCCTTTGAAGTAATGCCACCGTGGCGCTTTCACTGTCAAATTTCCATCTGATTTCAGGGTGATAAAAGTGAGGAAAACGCATCTTAAACTGAGCTTGCATCCAGCAGTTTTGGAGTGATGGGGCTTTGATGAAGTTTTACCAACAGTCTCAGTATGATCCAAGACATCCAGCTGGGGTGTAAGGTCCACACTGCGACCACAAGCGGCTATTGCAGGTTTGTGGTTTGAAACATCTTTTGAATTATAGCTGCTCTCACCAGGCACTGTCTGCGGTGTATGGTTACATCTAAAAGTGTTCTCTAACATTTATACAGCAAACTCTCTGCTGTCAAACTTTAAACCAAAATCATCTGCTGTCAACCTTCTCTCTTATGGCTCTTTCTATTACAGTGCT